AGTACAAGGAAAAAAAACTTCCAGCAGTTTATTGACAAACCTGCTATATATTCCCTGTTATTCCTTACATCTTAATTTTAACGCTCCATCACAGCGTACAAATCCCCAGCATAACATCTTCAAACAGACTGCGGTTTCTCTGTGGATTAACTTTCCCATATCTGCTTTCATTCTTTTTCAGGAAGCACGGTGGAATAACAATTTCCTCGCTTTCTGTAAGCATTCCTGTTTTCCAACTGTACACAAAGTGCAGCTGTACAAATATTAACCTGCAGTATACATCGCTATTTCACGCTTACATTTAGTGTACACTGTATTTACCCTTCACTTGCATTTCTTTTTCACATCATTTGTGCACCTTACCATAGGTACCAGTTTGAAATTCTATTCATTTTAGTGCCTATTGAGTCAAAAAGTGAATTACGATAATAGCAGTGGAAGCCAAAGCAAGACTATAGATAGGAAAGGTTGGTGTAAGCTACATGGAATTAATCTGGAATGGGTATCTGACCATTAAGATGTGGATATTGGGATGCGTTCCATTTCAGATGCATGATTTCAATGGTTTAATTCTCAATAATATAAACATGTGATAGCTTTGCATCCACTATTAATGGGTCCCTGTAGGAAAGACTCACAGTGTTATAAACAAACAGATAGAAACCATAGAGAAGTGAATGATACAGACACAAGCACCATGCTGATTCGCACCACTGGGCTGCCACTGTTTGCTTTAATTGTTCATACACTGAATGAATACATAAATAGGTGGCTCTGTATTTCACCAATGATAATAACTCTATTTTTAGATCCTGAACCTAAATTGCTACTTGTTTCATGTTACCATGGAAATCTTCCACAATGTGTATGATTACTTTTTGTTTCCTTGATGTGTAATTTGCGTGTGTTTTTACATGACCTCAACATATTCCGCTCATGTAGATGTTATAAAAAAAAATTGTTGGAAAGTTTCAAGCGCAGTTCCGTCAGTAAAATGCTTTTTATTGGGAGCATTTTAACATCAGTATGTAATCATTATGTGAAAACGGATGAATATCACCCTGTCCCATTCTTGGCATGAAGGTCACTTGATCAATTGTTCTTTTTGTACATAATGCACATTCATCACAATATTATATTATTTTGTATATATTGCTTGTAAACTGTGATTATTAAACTTATGTCTCATCTCCTGAAGAAAAGGTATGAAATTTAAAAATTTTGCCTAGTAAATATAGCTAAAGAGAGAGGGAGATTAAAATTAATATTAACTCCAAAGTCATGTTAAACTAAAATGTGTAAAGTGTAATATGAACTGAATAACAGCTGATGATAGGAATGATATTCCGTTCCTATGAGTGTGAAACTGGCAGTCTGTTCTATACAGTAAACTGTCAGTTCTGGCGGCCATATTACTGAGAATCAATTACAGTATGTAAATTCCTCCACACATTTGGGTTTATAGTTCCAAACTGCATTCAGATATATCAGCTCATTTGTTTCACTGCAAAATAACACCGGGAAACAATGTAGCAGGATGCCTGCATTCAATTATGTCTTTCAGCAAAGAATTTTGATGTAGGACTGAGTGAAAATATATCATATATAATTAATAGATATTTCCTTTTTGATGATTAAAAACATATTAAATAGCTTTTTAAAAAAACTGCGATCTAAGCCCATACTAACGTTAGCACATTAATTTTTCGACTTCTGATCAAAGTCAATTCTTCCAGGGGTTGGGGTTTACCACAACAGCTTTTTATATGATGCAATGTTTATTTCACAAAAGAAGCCTTCAGAGAGATGGCTGGGGGGTACCATTTCACTGTTTTTATGAAGCTGATCTGAGGAGAAAGCAGAACGTGCTGGAGAGCTTGGATATTATATAGATCCAAGGAAATTAACACAGTGGAGTGGGGCGACAGCATTAAACAAAGGACAGAATACGCCCGTTCTATACCTGCAGAGCTTGTGTTGAATGAATTTCTATTATTCTATAAAAAAGAGACTTTAATTTTCTTTTAATTAAAATACTCCAGCCTAAAACATGTTGCACTTAACTGCAGATACAGAAACAGGTTTCTGGCAATCATGTAAATTGCAACTGAAGAGCTTCAGATAAATTGAAAATGCACCAGTAATACTGCATTTTAATGGAAAGATGGCGCAACTGCGAAAAGTTTTGTCTCAAACCTGAATCAACTGTTAATAACTTAGGAGCAGGTGCATTAATGTCAGGAGCATCAGGGGGTATGGATACCCTGACAGGGGCCCTTGAATAAGTAAAATGATATGTAAAATTTGGCAGGGGGCCCAGAATTTCTAGCTACGCTCCTGATTAAAGTAGGCCAGGGCTAATCAAATCATGGTCCTCAAGGGCCGAGAACTGCTGATTTTCCAGCCTTCTTTCACCTGTGAGTCAGGTGTGAAGCCTCTGGCCAACCGGAATCAGTAATTATTAAGCTAACTACCTGGAAGAACTGAAAACTAGGCCTGGATTTGGAATTGAGGGCCAGATTTGAAGAGCCCTGATGTAGGCTATGGATCCTTCACCTGATTGGCTGCTTATAAACAAAATGGCACCTTCAGCCACTTAAAATATGGACCATAATTTCTTGGTCTGAATGCAGAACCTTTAGCAGGGCAGAGAGGGCGCATGGGGCCCAAAGGCCTGCCAGTCTCAGGGCTCCTCCATGGCTCTTTGGGGAACATGATTACACATGTTTGAAGGCTAGATGCTCATTCACAAGCTGCTTATTCTACAAAAGGCCCATGGCATCTCCCTGGAAATCCCATTTCTGAACACATCACGAAGCACCTCCAGCTCCAGTCAACATCACATCCGGATTTTCATCAATTGGTACTGAAGTGACAGAAAGAAAATATGTTCACTGTCAAAGTAGTAATGATCAGTATCCACTGTGTGAGGCTTAACCTAATTTGTTTAATTTAGCTAAAGTTTTAATTTTTAAGTTTAATTTAATTTTAAGTAGGAATACTGCTCTGAATTGGACTCATTGTATCTGGAAACAGAATCCTTCATAAAACATTTTTCAAGACTTGTTCCCCCTTAAAATTGTTTTGCTGATTTATATTACAAACAGACTAGTAACGCATTTTAGCATTCAATTAGGGGATGGGGTGTGGCTCAGCAGACTAAGCCTCTTTGGTTGTGAGCGCAAGATTGCTGGTTTGAGCCAGGCCTCAGCGGAACATCTTTCTGTCCATTCAACTCTCCATCTAAAAATAAAATGCTAGAATATATGTGAAATTGTGACAATGAGTCATAAAGGAGATCAGCTTCTCATAATTCTCATGAAATGCATTCTGGGACACCTGCCATTGGGGGCTGCTCTAATGAGACCACAAACACACCAAGATCAACCGGAATCATGAACCAGGAGCTCCCTTCTCAGGTGTGCCAATGCGTTTAAGCTTGCGAATGGTGACAGCCCCGAGAGCAGAGTCACGCTATAATGCACCAGCACCATAGGGAGTGGGTACTTCTGTGGTTTCTTCATGACAGTTTACATTGTCTGCTACAGACATGCATACGCCCAAGATGCATGATCACAACAATGTTCGTGAATCTCTCACTCACAGCTGGAGACGACAGGTAAAGGGTGCAGAACAGTGTTAAAACACCGGCTCCGACACGCAAAGGTTTCTTTTTTAGGACAGACAAACAAACAAAACTGTAAGTATGTTGAATTAGGCATTGCCTAAGCGATAAAAAATAATAAGAGGAACAAACTGAGTCACATGAACTCTTTCTCTTTCTAGGTCTTGCTGGAAGTGTCCTACTAGACCCAGTTTGGGGGTGCGCCTTAACACAAATAGGGAGGATCGATAATATCAAATGTACCCCCAACGCCTTAACACAAATAGGGAGGATCGATAATATCAAATGTACCCCCAACGCCTTAACACAAATAGGGAGGATCGATAATATCAAATGTACCCCTAATGCCTTAACTCAAATAAAGAGAATCGATAATACCATTTGGGGTTTTCGGTGTTTTAAGTAATTTCAATAAATAATATTATGGGTATAACACATCTCTAAATATGTATCTAAATTAATATAAATTACTGGTTAAATTATTGTTTAAGATGAACTACAGAAAC